AAACTGAAACATTATCCTAAGAACTTGAGTCATGTTCTTAAATAACCAGATCTAAACTCTCATATGGATGTCATGCATAGCATCTAACACCTTCAGAAATGTCTAAAAATTGAATATAGAATAGGCTGCACTAAGAGTAGGTTCACCCAACACCACATGATGCTACAGTTAGGAAACATTAACCTAAGAACTTGAGTTATGTTCTTAAATAACCAGATCTAAACTCTCATATGGATGTCATGCATAGCATCTAACACCTTCAGAAATGTCTAAAATTGAATATAGAATAGGCTGCACTAAGAATTGGTTCAAAACCACATGATGCTATCAAACATTAACCTAAGAACTTGAGTCATGTTCTTAAATAACCAGATCTAAACTCTCATATGGATGTCATGCATGGCATCCAACACCTTCAGAATTGTCTAAACTATCATCTACATACAGCTGTTCTCTCCAATTAATGATTAAATGTAGCTCCATGCGAATGAAACCTTCGTTAGATTTGGTAAACTGGTGCTACGGAATAACAAAGAACATTTCGAAATAACAGAAATCACATCACTTGAAATCTTTCGACAACTAAAATGTATATCACAGGTATTGACTGATTGATTTGCTTTTTACGGCTTATCAACCTTTTGCACGTTATTTAAAGCCAGAAAATATTTTAGACTGTAAACATTTCTTGGGGATAATAATGATTTACTAATACAATTCCTACTAATTAGCCCATGGTTGGGAGAAGTGGATTCATACCTTTTCCAAGGGTAATTGCCCGTAAATGAATATAACGAACCCGATTGGAATTAGAACTCTCCGATTTCCAATTCCGATCGGTTATCCATTACACCAGCTGCACACCCAAGCTTACTACACCTGATATTCGCAAGCGGTCATCCATCATGGTATTGAGCAACCTCGGTGTTGCTTAACTTCGGTGATCGTACCTGATAGCACATCTAACTAAAAGAAATAATGATATAATCAAGATACTGACGTTCCACACTACTTCAAACAAAAGGTTAGGAAGGAAATCCTTATCAATACTGAAAAGAGCGATAAGAGATAGTGGGCTTGAGAAACCGATTTTGCTGGAAAACTCTTTTATGGGAAAGATTTTTTCAGTTTCCACCTACAGTAACGCTTTTCATTTAATGAATGCCAAATGTTTCCATATAAGAAAACGGTTCATTACCCATAACCATTGACCTTACTTTTTTTCTAACACTTATGTTTGTTTGTTTTCTTATCATAGACGTATATATTTTTATTTGTGGCGTACCATACTTTTTTCTTAAAGAATATTGTTTCGAAGGTTTTAACTCTTTCTAAATAGAGGCATCTGATTTTATACCATCGTAACTTTACAGCAGCGAATGTTGGACGATTTCCTCAAAGATGAAGAAGAAACTCGAGGCGACAGAGATGTGCTTCTACAGAAGGATGCTAAGAATATCATGGACCGAGTGTGTGAGCAACGATGAGATCTTAGAGAGTTTACAAACAAGGAGGAGGCTTATACCTAATATCAGGAAGAGGCAGCTGAAGTTTCTGGCACACATAATGAGGAAGGAGGGCCTGGAGAATCTGATACTCATGGGTTGAATAGAGGGAAAGAGAGAAAAGGGAAAACAATGCGTGACATACCTGGAGGTCTTAAACAAGTGGATGACAGAACGTTGTCTGGGGGAGAAAGCAGAGGAAAGGAACTTGTTGTGAGCTGCAAGGAATAGAGGGAGGTGGAGATCCAAGATCGCCTACGTCCTGAAAGGACATGGCACATAAAATGAAAATAATTACCACAAACGATTACCGGAACTGATTGTGGTAAGAAAAAAAATAGTTGCAGCGTAACGTACTTTCAAACAAATACAACGTCAATCACCATTTTTTGTCTTTCTAAATTATATTTCTTTATTGACCTTTCTTCTCACAAAGTTTTCTCATTCTCTTCCACACCCAGTAATCCAGGATTTTTCAACTTGGGCGATATCGCACACCGGTGGGCGATTTCAACTGTTGGGTGGGCGATAAACAAGTGAACAGAAAATGGTAGGTGAGTGATATAGTATTTTGAATATTAAAAAGTTATTTTAACATGTGTTACTCAAAAAAAAATGCGCAAAGGAAATATGCAAAGACCTGTATTAAAAATACATGAGACTAAATGGTAATAACTGGATCACATAGAAGATAGTATTATAGTTCTACAGACGAAATAACATTTTTTTTTCGGATATAAATCAGATAAGGGAAGAGCAAGAACATCTTTGCCAGTAAAATTAAGAAATGGCCTCAGAATAATTTTATTTAATATAAAATTGTTTTTAGTTTTTTTATTAGCCATCTCGAATTTATCAAGGCAGGAAAAGTGTCCGTCAAAACATAATTTATCTATCACTGTATGCTTTTGAACTATGAGCGGGGGTAAATTTTTTTTTTTATATCCGTAGGTGAGCAATGACGAAAAAAAAAACGGTTGGGAACCGCTGCAGTAACCTTGCGTCTTAGTTTCATTATCGCCTTGTTTGGGGTGACATGATTCAAAAAAAAAAACAGAAAAAGAAGATAAAAGTTCGTGCTTACGATCAACGTAGCACTGGCAGCGGTCCCAAAGACTCTTGCAAAGGGAAAGAATTGAAAAACCTACAGGTTCAGATCACAACAATATTGAATTTTTTTAAATAATAAAAAAAAATATGGACGACTGAATAACAGCAATGCATTTTCTCTTTTCGTCTGTGATAGTTCGTGTCGTGGTTTTAATCTTAGGTAGAATTGTCGGTTTGCTGCTTCTTATCGTCCTGCAAGTCTTGAAGAAATGGAAAGGAAAGGAATCTACGAACACGACGAATCAACATTAGCTGTAGACCTAGTTCATTTAGTGATTAGGACACCCAAATAACAGACCAAAACAATTTACCCTAGGGAATTTGAAGGAATAAAAATGGCTTCAATCGAATAGGTCATAAAGATGATAATCCTTCATTAGATCCTATAGAATTGTGCCGTATCCCTTCAGAACGTTGATTATCATGGCTCTCAACAGCTTCCCCTTATACACTATCGCTGCAAAATCGCAAACGAAAAACTTTACCAAATAACAAAACTCCATCGGTTCCAACAGCAGTAAGAACAAATGAGAAAATATAATCAAACTGATAACTTGCCACCAAAATTTTTAGTAATATAATAAAATAATAAAATAATATAATCAAACTGATAACTTGCCACCAAAATTTTTAGTAATATAATAAAATAATAAAATAATATAATCAAACTGATAACTTGCCATAAATTTTTTAGTAATATAATAAAATAATATAATCAAACTGATAACTTAACCAAATGTAAAATTGTTGTAATGAAACTCCCATCAATATATTGAAAGAGCTATAACATGTAGTGGAATTTTTCGGGTCAGAATCCATTTATAAATCTACTATTCGCCCGTGCATTAAATACTATTGCCAAACCTGGACTGGTGCTTCTGCTGTATATCTGGAAATTCTTGGCAAAATCTAAAGAAGGGTCTGTAATGTAATCGATCCTTAACTCGACTTCACTCACTTTCTCACCGACGTGACGTAGCTTCCTTCTGTCTCTTCTACAAATATTTCCATAGCAACTGTTCTGATGAGCTTTTTTTTCTGATTGCCTCGGCTGCATGAATTTAAGCGTGCTACTAGATTGGCAATTAGGTCTCACCGTTTCAACCTTGAACTAGCTAAATACAAGTGTCTCTTCTTTTCTAATATTTTCTTTTCCTGCACTTCTCACCTATAGAACTCCCTTCCGATTTCTTGCTTCCCAGACAACTACGATCAACAAAAATTTAAATGCGACGTCAGTCGCTATCTTCTGTCTTCCTGAAACCCTATCCCTTTATTGACTTCCTCATCCATAAAGTATTTTCTTTCTCATTCACTCCCCCGTAACACCTTGCGCCGTAGTAGCATTATCGTCTTGCTTGGGATGAAATGATTAAAAGAAATTGCGAAGTTTAATTTCCTGAAAAAATATTTTAAGAAAAAAGTTTTTATAAATTTCAACCGACAATAAGGCTGACTGCTCGATCATTGAATATCGAATGTTTCCTACCTGGAAACGGACATTTTCTCGATTACCGTTACTATTTAACAAGGATTGTCAGCTTGTCGCTTAATTCATCCTACATGACTTGAGATAATTCCAACTCTTCACCAATAGAAGAATCTGTGAAGAGTGTGATTCAATAATAGTTGCATACCGAACTCAATCTCTGACCAAGAGATCAAAATATAACAAATTATTCTCACGAATTTGGATAAAGAATAATATCTAACGTTTATTAGGGGCTAATGGATGAGAGTTAAAAATCTCTAGAGCTCTAAATATTATTACAAAAATGAAGAAAAAAATAAGGATGCTGGATCGTCTTAAGTACATGTCGCAGAATGATGGGCGTAAGATAAGATAGAAAATTGATAAAGATTATAAAATATATGACACCATCGCGTGTAGGTTCGAACGTAGGGATTCCGCTCTGAAATGTATGTAAATTTTTATTTACCACTGCATCAAAAAATAAATGAGAAAAGAAGTAAAAAAGAAAGAGAAATAAAGAAAGATTCGTCATGTGGTCAGAGTATAACGTCAATGATGTCAGTGTCTGCTTTTGGAGAGGAGCGTCATTCAATGTAAAAAAAACTGCCCCAAGGGGTGATTTGAATAACGACATGAAGATGCCTGTATATAGAAGCCATGAATGTTACACAAGCAAATAGATGAGAATTCAGAGAGCAAAAGGATTTGGAAAGATGTGAAGCCGAAAAATACGTAAAAATGAAAAAATCATTATGCAACAAAAAAAAATGTATAAAATGAAAAAAAAAGAAGAAACTCCGTTTATGGCTTAGTCTCGTTTTTTTTAGATTATGCTAGTTTGGTTTGTTGTTGTATGTAGCAATGTAGGCTAAATTTCCTTTTAAGTTTAAAATTTTTAATAAAATTTTTTGTCATTTTAAGGTTGATATCTGGAAAGGCTGATGGTGATCGAAAGAGTAAAAAGAAGAAAAATTTTGAAAAATATTGGCATAGTAAATAATGTTTGCGTTGGGAAATAAAAGAAAGAAAGAAAGAAAGAAAGAAAGAAAGAAAGAAAGAAAGAAAGAAAGAAAGAAAGATTGGCGGAAAAGAAAGAAAAAAGCAAATAAAGAAACAAACAAACAAAGATTGGCGGAAAAGAAAGAAAGAAACAAACAAACAAACAAACAAACAAAGATTGGCAGAAAAGAAAGAAAGAAAGAAAGAAAGAAAGAAAGAAAGAAAGAAAGAAAGAAAGATAAATTGGCAGAAAAGAAACGAAGAAAAAAAAGAGAGAAAGAAAGACTTTTGGTTGAAAGGAAGTACAAAGAAAGTAAGGAAGAGGAAAAGAAAGAAAGAAAGAAAGAAAGAAAGAAAGAAAGAAAGAAAGAAAGAAAGAAGGTTAGGATATAAATGATAAATAAAGATAACAATGTACTAAAAAAGAAACTTTATGATGAAAGAGGAAGGAAAGAAAAATGGGTGTGGCATAAAGAGATAAATCTGAAAGAGAGCGGAAAAAAGCGCGAAGACTTAAATAGATCGATACTAAGAGAGAGAGTTTTTAATGTGAAGAAAATTTCTGGGGTGGTAAAGTAAAAGAGTTTGTAACGTGAATAGATATGAAAAGAAAAGGTATGAAAAAATGAAGCAAGTGTGGAGCTCTCTAGTGTTGGGAGTCATATTAACGTCCGTACATGAACGTCCTCTAATGGGTTTGTGACAGGTTTGGATCATATGGACACACATTCTTCCAAACCGCTTCTAAAAGAAATGTAATTATTAGGGAAAAAAAAGAGGTCCGGCTTCCCGTCTTTAGCTACTACCATCATTATTTCCCACTGAATATATCACCACTTCAGCACCGTGCCCCTCAAACCGGGCACTAATGGATCGGCAACATATTTATCATTTGGCTAATGTTAACACAAAACACGGGCTTACGTAGGCTTTGTGCCAATGTTTGCTTTTTATTTGCACGCCTCAGCAAAGCATTTTTTAATTGATTAAATATTAAAGATGTGAGCGCATGTTTGCGTGTACAAAATGCGCGAGTGTGTGAGTATATATGTCTGTGGACGCATGCGTGTGTGTGTGTTTGAATATGTGAGTTTTGGTTGCGAACGCTTCTCTGTCGTAAGTTTAGTTAGCATGCTTTAGTATATATGTGTGCAACCGACTTTGTATGCGCGTGTGTAAGTATGAGAATGCATATTTTATGGGCGTGTGTATGTATGAGTGACGATTTTGTTTGTATGAGTGTGTGTATGAGTGCGTAAGCGTAGCGTACCATCGTTGGCAAATACTCAACAAACATAATTCAATTTTATGAAAGTAAATTCATATAAATGTTTAGGCGTGAATGTATTCGTGCATGTGTGGAAATAGTGTGTACTGATATCGACATATGTACGTAAGTTTCTACGTTAGTGTAGGCGTTTGACTGTGCGCATGCGTTAGAATGGATTAAAAATTGAGGGAAATGCGACAGTCTATATATGCCTTCTTAGACAATTTTAGGGAAGTTCAGATTTAAGTGTTTTTCTTTTGTGATTTTATACGAAATCGTATTTAGTCCTGTCCGTACACATGCTATAAAATTACAATCGTGTGTATATATAAATGCATGTACATAAACCATTGCGGACTCATAATAAATGTACACACAAAATATATATATATATATATATATATATATATATATATATATATATATATATATATCAAACAAATTATATATATATATATATATATATATATATATATATATATATATATATATATATATATATATCAAACAATGTTTCAAAATTAAGAAAAAAATGAAAAAGATTTTAGTTACGTTATTTGTACATGTATTGAGTATGATTATAGTTCCATTTAAAAAAAAGCTAATTTAATAAAAAAAAGAAAAGTAATTTACTAAGACGAAAGTGTATAAAAAAAATTAAATAAAATAAGATCAATAAGAAATTAAATTTGCGTCCACTTTAATTTTTAACATTTCAATATAGTTTCAATATATTTTTTAAAATATGATGATATATTTTTAAAAAAAATAAATAAAATTGGTTCGTCGATATACACAAGCACATATTTTTTAAAAAACAAAAAAAGTAAAATAAAACAAAAAATACAATAAAAATTTAAATATAAAAATATATATTTTTTCTCTTTCGTGCAAATGTATAGTCACATATAAAAACACACACACACACACACACACACACACACACACACACACACATATATATATATATATATATATATATATATATAAAATATATATATTCAGAGAAGTCAGAGCAGCATGGATCCATCCAGCTCTTATCTCAAATAACAACTTAAAAGAGACTGTTTGACCAACACAAGGAATGTTAAAAGATTCATGTTAAAAAGATAAAAAAAAAAAAAAAAACAAATGAAAACTACAGACAAAGTTCATTTTCTCCATCAAGACATTCATTTCTGTAGTTCACTGCTACCAGCAAGCAGAAATATTTCTTCTCCTGATGATGGCCATTTTGGCCGAAACTAGTCGAGGAATCTAAATGAAATAATAATAAAAAAAAAAATAGGAAGAATATTAATCTACAACCCAGTGTGTCTGAAGATTTTAATTTTTAATTTTTTATTGTTCAATATATATATATATATATATATATATATATATATATATATATATATATATATATTTGATATATTGAATACGACGGACAAATGCTTTGAAAATTTTTTATAAATTTTCATGGATGTTTTTTTTTCTTTTCAGATGATAAATTATATAAAACTGTCCGAATGTTCTTTTTATCCGAGTGGTTTCGACTATATATTTAGCCATTTTTAAGGAAGAAATATTTTAAATGTTAATGTATGTATTTATATAATATTTTCATTTTTTTTTTAACACGGTCAAGATATTGTGCCCATGTTCATAGTTGATATTATTGACATAGTAGTTTTTTTTTTTTTTTTAATAAGGCTTCCATCATTTTTAGCATTTTTTTTTGCATGTAAATGATGCAGTGTTGTTAATTAATTAACGAAGTATGTATATATATATTTTTATATATATATATATATATATATATATATATATAAATATTATAATGAATGAAATTCAAAATGCTCCATCTGAATGGCCATTTTGTAATTTCAGAGCTCGGAATGGACATTTCCTCGTGGCTCGGATGAGTTACACCACGGTAATTTAGTAATCGGCGCTATATCGAGTCTAATTAGTCACCTGCGAGGCTCGTTGGTACAGTTGGTATGACGCTTGTATCGTATCGTAACGATCTGGGTTCGATTCTCGGATGTGCACTGTTGATGAGTCCCAAATATGGCATGAAACGGCCGACCAGTGCTTTCTGCATTCTCTTGAGGATTCTTCTTGACTCGATGAATTTCTTAATTATGAGTAAAGATAAATATATATATATATATATATATATATATATATATATATATGATGAATACAAATATAAAATTTGTCACTTAGCTGATTGATGTTATATTCAGCACGCCGACTCCAGAGTTTCTTAGACGAACATTTTGCAGTCGTTCGGTCCACTCGTCAGAAGGTATTAGCAATTATGTACAAGTATTATTGAATACGAAGGACACAGAATATTTCTTCTTTTTTTTTTTTTTTTTTTTGCGGGGGTGGAGGAATTTCTCTTATTTTCGCACAGTGGAGCGAATGATTGATTCAAGAACCTACCAATATTGTCCATATTTTTGGTCATGGGTTATAACGTCTTCGATCATTCTCTAGTAATCCTAAAGTGCAAGATCATCGGTTCCATTGTCAAGGGAAGATTAGATGCTGAACTCAAACTGACATCATATCGGTGTTTCTGTTAAAGGTTATCTTCTATTTGGCATGTCCTTTCAGGACTTCCTATCCTTTGTGACCCTTTTTGACCGTCATTCATTCACACAAGCTCGTCAGATAGATGGCCTGCTACCTTCCTCTATCTCTCTTGACTTGTGAGTGTTGAGTTTTCTAAGTTTTCCTTCCTCATTGTGTCCCAGAAATTGTCTTCGAGTCTGAGTATAAGTGTTCTTTTTGTTACCATTTTCTTCAAAACTTTTATTGCTGCTTACATGTTCCGTAAATAGAATTCTCAGTATCCTTCTGCGGAACCATATTTCTGTTGCCTTCAGTTTCCTCTTCATTTGTGGGGAGGTTGTCCAGCATTCATTGTCGAAGAAGATCGATAGCACATAGCAATTCAGCTCCCTAATTTGAAAACATTATAACAGGTCATTGAAAAAAAAAGGAAGCCGTTGATACAGCCTGATAAAGCACCGTAATTTCTCGATAATAATACGCATTTTTTACTGTAAATTACAGGTTTTAGTGGGAGTGCGTATTATAAATAGGTTTAAGCAAAAATATTTTTTGTTATTGATTTATAATAATAAATACGTACTTGTTCTAAAATAAGAAATATATTATCATAATTTTCATTTTAAATCCAACAATAATAATTGAAACATTTTTGTCAATAAATTTATGTTTATCAGTAACCGCATTTTTTATTTGACTAAAAAATTAAAAAATCTATAAAAAGGCCAATTTTGAAGAAAAGAGGATATCAAGTTAACAATTTATTGAAATTTTAATTTTCATCATCATCATAACCATTTTCTATTATAGAATCAATATCTAAATTATCATTAAACAAATTATCATTCACAATATTATTTTCGTTCTGTTCAAATATTATCTTCGGATTCTTCATTCTCTTGCAAAAGGATGTCATCTTCAGAGCCATCCATGGCTGTTGTGAGACAATACTTCTTGAAACCTCTCTTTATAACATTCTCATTGACGGAATCCCAAGATTCCTGAATCCATTTTACAATAAGTTACTACTACGATAAAGGAAAATGTCCATTACATGTCAAAAGCTGTTTGAAATGTTTTTTTTTTTTCATTTCTCACAAATCTCCAAAAAGGATTTGCAAACAGCAATTTCTCAAAAGGGTGATGAACCTGTACATTACTTGTGTGTTGTCAGAGACTGGCAGAACAAAAAATTACTAAATCGATTATTTTTTTAAATTGTTAACCTAATACAAGGTCAAGAGCCACTCAAGGTAGAGGCTTACTGAAAGGGATTGCTGTAATGTCGTAAAGGAAAAAGGAACAGGTAGATATTATAAGCATAGGTAGGATAGATATCTGTTGAACCCTTGAAAAGAATTTAAAAAGTGATTAGAAACATCCTTCACAGGAATATGTTTATTCTGGTTTGACTTTCTTGTTAAAGAACCTTTATTTTTAAACTTCCTCTTTACCAAAGGAAACGTTAAATTTTATTAATGTTGATGGTGGATCCTATTTTGAGCGAGGTCACTGAGTTGAACTACAAGGTACCTTGATATCACATATCTCGAATTTTCGTTTTTCAGACTAAGAGCGCAGTTCACAACAGAAAATCGAAACATTTCAGGATATTTTTTAATTTCGTTGAAAAGGAGACATGTTCGATAGCACCAAAAATGAGTCTAAATGAAATTTGAAAATTTTAAGGAAAACTGAAAATCGTGATTCATCTGTTGGGAAATATGAATTTTGCTTCGATTTTACTTCAATTTTGGGTTTAAAATCTGGCTGTTACATAAACGAGATGTGATAATTTAATTCCGAGAATGGACAAATGGAATTTTCCCTATTTGGTTCATTATTGGCTTTAAAAAAATGATCAAAAATAACCCCTTTATTTTATTTGAATGTT